TGTGGAACTGTTAAATATATGCACTCTGCAATTGAGAAGCACCTTTGAATATCTTCTGAAGGATGATATTCATTGCTGGCTGAATTAAATACCTCTTTATCAACCAAAGGACAAACTCCTGTACCAAGTGGGGCACAAAAGTAGCTGACCTCGATAAATGACAATCATCTGGCTTTGGATAATATTCTGAGGCTTTCATTTCGGCTATTTCAGACCAAAGGATTGAAGCAGCATTATGCAAAACCACTTGTACGTTTGAAAGCAGTTCATCAGGCTCACTCACCAAAAGAACATCACCAAAATCTTTGGATGACTTGAGTACCTGCTTCAGATTACTAGCAGGTTGAATAGTATCAGCTAATGTTACTGTTCTCCACAGAGCAATGGTAGACTTGCCATGTCCATGCTGTGCATGGAATGAAATTGCAGAACCATAGTGTTTTTCTAATTTTGTCTGTAATGTGCTACTGGAATAGCTTGCAGTTTCTACATCTGATGAAAGCAGACCGTAATATCTTTTTAGCAGCTTGGACAAGAGAAGAGCCTTCTGGCACATAAGATCATTGTCTATCTCTTCAACTGCATCCTTAGCAATTAAGTCTTCCACAGATATTCTACAGAACATGTCATCTTCTCCTCTTTGAAATGCTGCCTCCATTAGATTTGTTGCTCTCGTCTTTCTTGCGTGGTTTTTCTCAAGCAAACAATGCAACAGGACCAATCGCTGCAGGATGTGCTTGCTGTGGTGGCAATAGAAGCAGGTGAATGTGATGGTCTCTGATCAGATTCAGTCTGTTTTTCTTTCCTTGGTTCAGTACAACTCTGACATGCCAAATTCAACTTGCTTGCATATTTCTGAAAACAGCTCCTATGACAGAGCATTGGTGGCACATCATCTTTGATGGAAGCTTAAAGGGGCTTGTACTTCCATGTCTTCATATACTGTAACTTTCCTATAGAGATAAAATTCCCAAAGTATATTGTTAACATTGCCACCATTTTTCATTTTGTACAAGTATACAGAATTAGTTCTAAATATTAGTATCAAAATTACCATTTTTGTTTAGTGAGCACTTTGACTGAAGCCTTGTATGAAGCTGTGTATTGTCATCTAACAGTAATACTGACCTGTGTATAAGTGTCACTGAATTAAAAAGCTAGTTTATAGAATATTTCAAAGGCTAGTGGTACATGCAAAGGCAATTACAAATTAAAATCTTCCATTGGGCAGACTAGATGCTACATTGTATGTAGTAAAACTTACAATAGAGAAGCATTACATTAGGAATTCATGTATGTTTATATGTGCCCACTATCTGGTACAAACTATGGGCATGCAATCGTCAGCGTGAAATTGATATGGTCAGCAAATTTTAATTGAAAGTATAGAAAATATTGTTATTATTTGTGATATGTATTTTGACAATTAAGAATATGCAATGTGAAAACATTTCATGTTATACTGCAGAATGTTGATTTTTGCCATATCTAAACAGCTTCATTTGGGAAAAAAAATACTTGCCCATGCAAAACCAATAAAAATCTCTGTACACTTTCGTTTGGTACCTTTGATCAGTAAATACCACATCAAGGTGTTGAAATTAACTTAAACCAAAACTGTTGTCATAGTCATGTGGCAGTGTTTCTGGAACTGTGCAAAAAAAAAATTTGACACTTTTTTCCCCTCATTCTGGGAACAACTGTTTCATCTCACCTGTAGACCTACAGCACTACTTGGCAGCTCCACATTATACCTCATCTAAACATATGTAAAATAAGCTTCCAAATGATATAGGTGTGTGTAGGGTGGGTGCATTTAACTCAAAAAAAAAAAAAAAAAAAAAAAAAAAAAAAGAAAAATTCCTTATTTATAGAATTGATACTTACCATTTAGAGTAAAATGCTATTTTATGAATGGGGAGAGAAAGGGACAGGCTAATGGCATACCACAATTAGAGCACAAAGTGAAATATCAGAGAAAGGATGAATAGGATCACTGGAGTCCAGAATAGTATCTTATGTAGATGATATCCAGTTTACTCTGTGAAAGTCATACATTTCTGTAATGTTCTTGATTTAACAAAAGTGTAGGAAAAATCAAAGATGGTGGAACTCCACCTTTCACATCTGTCTGTGGCTAGGAGTTTCTGATCAGTTGGAATTCCTTCATTTTTCTCCATGCTGTATCTCCCCTTGTAGGCTGCAAGGGAGAAGAAATTATCTTCTTTCACCCAGAGCTTCCTGGCTGTTGCGAGGGCATAGTGCGGGGAGTGCAGACTAGCTCTTCAGTTTCTTTGAGTCCTCTCGTCCACCCTACCCTTATCCCAAATAGCTATTGTGCTTGCTCTTAGTGCTCCCAAGTAGCAGAGTAAAAGTGATTCTTGACAATTTCATTACTCTCCTCCAGGGATCTTAATAGTAATTTCTGAACCATTAACAAATTTGGTCATTCTGTTCAGCAAGGTTGTAAGCAGCAGCAGAATACTAATGCTGTTTGGGGACTTGTGAAGATAACTTTCTGAAGGTTAACTAGGGCAATGATCAGCTTCAATGGCTAGATCTTCAAAATAACTTAAATTCTGCAGAAATGGGTTACTTAGACCACCTTTGTGGCCAAGGATAACCTTTTACTTAATGGAGGGGAGAGGATTTTCAAAACACGTAATGAAGGGGTGATCTTGGACACACATTGACTATACTGCCAAAGTCAAAGGATGCCCACAAGCCTTAAAGAGATCCCCCTCATGCTTTTCCAGGCTCAAATTTTCAAAACTTGTTTAGTTCCCATTTAGCACCCGAATGAAGTGGCTGACAGAGTTCTCAAATGCTCACCACCCATGGAGGAACTTTTCTGAAAATTTGACAACACCCAGGACTAAGCCTGTTAGGAAACGTGGCCAATTCATTTAGATGCCTAAATGGGAGCCACACCCTTTTGAAATCCTGATCCCAGTTGTGGGTGCTGAGCACATCTAAAAATCTAGCCCTAAATCCTTTATGAATTTTCCACTCTCTCATAGAAAAGATCAACCTAATAAAGATACTACCTGTGTTACAAATTAACAGCATATAACCTTTTGTGAATCTCAGCATAGTATTTAAAAATGCTGTTTTGATAAGAAGTGGGACAGAGGACAGATCTTGCATGAGCCCTGTCAATACAGTGATCAAGATAAGATGGGATTTGGCTCCCAAATATAAAGCTATATCATTGGGCATTCAGTCTTGTGAAAAGGGCCAAAGTGAGACAGTCTGGGGCAGTTGGTGCTGCAATGGGTCTCCAGGTCACACTGTTCTCTGGGAAGTAGTAAGGCAGGTCAAAAGAGATAAATTAAGTAACCCAATCATATCTCACTTGAAGTATGGAGAGGGTCTAATGGTCTATGGAGACCATTAGCTGTGTTAGCTGCAGAAGTCCAAATCTAATTCAATAGTTTGTTTAATTAATAGGGAAGTTTTCAGATGAAAGATTAGAATGAGGAAGTGACCAAATATGGGACTACTTACTGATGGGACACCTAATGCCCTTTAGAACTTGAAATGTATACCTCTCTGTGCCAGCTTGGGTGAATTTGACTCTAGAATCATAACTAATATCAAGATCATCATGTATATAGTGGTGAAGCATTCTTGACTGTGACTGTAATGGAATATCATTAATGACATGGTAGACATTTATAAGGAAGGCATAGGCTTCACGAAAAAGGTATTCACATCCTTATCCCACTCACATCTTAGTGCTGCTTTCCATGCAGCCCCTCATGCTTGGAACCCCACCTTTTCTTTCAAGCTCTGCTCCTTTAAGTCCCTGCTTAAAATAAACTTCTTCCAAAAGGCCTTATAAACCTAATTCTCTCCTTTTAAAGAAGTGTTAACTGAATAGACACTAGAAAAATAAACTAAACCAAATTAATGGCAATTTCAAGATCGAATGCTGACTTCACTGCTTATTTGCTTGCTGATACATCTCATCCCCCAGGTTTTGCTAATTAGATGGTAAGCATTTCAGTACAGGGATCTTGTTTGCATATTTATTTGTGAGGTATCTGGTATACTGTACTTTTAGTGTTTTAAACAGAAAATAAAAAAGTAATACTTGTTAGTTTAGTACTATAAGATTATTGTTTTCCTCAGGAATGAGTACAATATAAATGGAATATACATACATATCTAAATCTGTACTATGCAGTAACAGAGACATTTCAGATGTTTTAAACTATAGCTGTGTGTGTTTTTTAAAAATCTATTTACTACAGTTACTTTAGAACTTGTTAAATATTGCTACTGTTCACGCATGTTTTTGAAACAATTATACTGATACATTCACATGAGTAGTATACTTACATGAATAATCTCATTGGCTTCAGTTGAGTGAAGATTTTTCAGGAACTAATGGGTCTAGTCATGTGAGCAAGGAGTATTTTTGTGAGTAATGGCTTGTAGGATTAACTCGTACCATTAGATAATATGCAGCAGTTCCTATTACATTCCTGAATTTGAATATCTCTAGTATCCAGTAATTTTGTATTAACATTTGAAACCTATTATTCACTTGCTAGTGATAGAGTCATTACCATCAGAAATTTTGGAGCTTTTTTACTTAAAGCAACAAGATGTGTTACCAGTGCAGTCTGTGGGCTGGTCTACACTGGGGTGGGGGTGGGGGGTCGATGTACGATACGCAACTTCAGCTACGGGAATAGCGTAGCTGAAGTCGACGTATCTTATTTTGACTTACCTCGGGTCCTCACGGCGTGGGATCGACGGCTGCGACTCCCCCGTCAACTCCACTACCGCCGCTCGCCCTGGTGGAGTTCCGGAGTCGATGGGAGCGCGTTTGGGGATTGATATATCGTGTCTAGATGAGACGCAATATATCGATCCCCGATAGATCGATTACTACCCGCCGATTCGGCGGGTACTCTGGACGTACCCTTCATGTATATTTCCAAAGTTGCTAAAAGTGTAAACACTTAACATCTCTTTTTTCTATTAATCAGGTTTAAGACTCCTAAAAATCTCATTATCAAACGTGAGATTCATGTAGCAAACAATGCATCAGTGTGGTTTGTCAATAAAAAGCCTTCAACCCTGAAAATAGTAGAGGAGCAGATTGCAGCCTTAAATATCCAAGTGGGCAATCTGTGCCAGTTTCTTCCTCAGGTAGGAGAGACAATAACAGATACAATTTGAGTATTGCTTTTTTGGGGGGGGGGGGGGGGGGGGAGGGAGAAGGGGATTGTGACTTTTTAGTAGAGGGACTAGAGGTAGCTCTTTGGAAGGCCAAAAAGGGTAAAAACAAAAACAAAAACAAAAAAACAACCACCACCCAATTTTAACCATTGAATCATGAATTATTTTTAATATTTTTGTGTGTGTGCGGGTGTGTATGGCATGCATAATGTTTTAAGGCTCACTAATTTTGTCAAATTAGGTAATCTTCCATTATAAGGGAGCATGTGTTGGAGATGGCATGGTCCAATGGATAGGGATCAAGTTTAGGAGGCTGGAGGCCTGCACTAGGCTTGTTATGTGATCTTGGGCAAATTACTTTGCCCCCCTGTATCTCATTGAATTGGGGGTCATGATATTTGCCCTAGTTTGGAAAGTGCCTTGAGTCTATGGATGAAAAATAATCTAAAGTATTAAGTATCTTTAAATATATGGTACATTCTCAGAACAAAGCCAAGAGGAACCTGGGTATGTTTGGGAAAAGAAAAGTAGCAGAGAGCTCCATCATGTAGATAGTTGGCCTCCTAGCGTGTCTGAACTTGAGAACAGACAAATTTAATTAGACGCTCTCTAGACTAGGGGTAAAAAGTGTCATTTTAAAACATGCTGGCTGACGTATTTTAATCAGGTGGTGTTTAAACTATGTTTACTAATGCAGTAGCTAATATTTTTTTTAAATCAGTTTTTCAGTGTAGGAAAATGACCTTAGAACAAATTCTGGGAATGTGGCAGAGTGAAATTTTGAGCACTTAGGTTTTCCAGGGTGTTTTTGTTTTTGTTTGGAAAAGTGTTCAAAGTGATTCCCAGAAAGCCATGGACAAAATTTGATAATTAGATTTTTCAGCCAGGAGAACTATGAATAGATCATATGCTAACTATAACGGAGTTACAGGGCTGGCTGTAATACATAACTGAGGTGCACATTTAATAATAATTTATTGACTAACTTCCAAAGCTGGCTGACATGTAACTCTATGTTGTACATGCATATTAGCTTGAGATAGGCCAATATATTGCAATAAAATATTACTTTTTTGCAATATTATAACAGACCTGCGACGACATTGGTTTTTGGTTTCCGCTTTGCAGGACAAAGTTGGGGAATTTGCAAAACTGTCCAAGACTGAGCTTCTTGAAGCTACAGAGAAATCAGTTGGCCCACCAGAAATGTACCAATTCCACTGTGAACTAAAAAACTTCAGAGAGAGAGAGAGAGAACTTGAGGTAAGTACCTACATAGTAGAGGGACAGTGGTAGGAGGGATTTTCATAGACTTTCCAGTTTTTTTGTTTTTAACTATGATCAATAATAAGTAGATGTCAGGTAGTTTTGTACAATGTGATGCTTTTACAGGAGTAATTGTTTCTGACTTTATGCTCACTTGTACAATGACATAATAAGGAAGTATTCCTATTTAAAAGTTGGGCTTCTGGCCAGGGAAGATAGTGTCAATGTAGAGTTAACTGGCCAAGCTTGCAAAGGCCTTAAACTCAATTCAGTGGCATTTGTCTTCTGTATGTAATACAATTAATGTTTGAACGCCACATCCAATCACGTCCAAAATTTCCGGGAATGTTCTAGGCATAAATGTCCAGAACATTATTGATTTGGGGGAAATCTGAAAACTCAAAGGGAAAAAATGGGTGCACATGAAGCCTCTGCCATCTCATTAGTACAGCCACAGCTTCAATCACTTATGCCATTGTCTGTAGATCAAACAACTAATTAATTACACCCATTAATGCTTAACAATTAACAGTACCCTATCTCATCTCTGCCTGTCCTCTGAATAAAGTTTAGTATGTTGACATAATTTATTTTCCAGTTATAAAGACTAATAATGGTTAGGGAAGTGGGGCTGAATGGGGGCATGCACACAGCTCCTAACTTACAGGGTAGAATATTATATGACAAACAGTGACATTGACTAGGTACTATGGCAGGGGTCGGCAACGTTTGGCACGCGGCTCGCCAGGGTAAGCACCCTGGCGGGCTGGGCCAGTTTATTTACTTGCTGACGCGGCAGGTTCAGCCGATCGCGGCCCCCACTGGCCGAGGTTTGCCGTCCCGGGCCAATGAGGGCGGCGGGAAGCCGCAGCCAGCACATCTCTCGCCCGCGCCGCTTCTCGCCGCCCCCATTGGCTCGGGACGGCGAACCGTGGCGCGTGGGGGCCACGATCGGCCGAACCTGCCGCGTCAGCAGGTAAATAAACTGGCCCGGCCCGCCAGGGTGCTTACCCTGGCAAGCCGCATGCCAAACGTTGCCGACCCCTGTACTATGGAGATACCAAGCTAATAATTAAATGTCACTTTGTTTGCCATATAATATCTTTATAGTCTCTGTGATAACCTGTTAATCTAACTAAGCAAGATAGATAAAGGAATTATAAAGAGGTGCAAAACTAATAGTTATAAAATATCTCTTCTAATTAGTAGTGAAAGTAGAGATATTTTGTTCAGTTAAGAATTAATTCAAGAAAGAACAAAATGTATAATGCAGTAATGAAAAATAGTTTCCCCCCTCTCCTGTTGACCAGTAGAGAATAATTTGTTTGATCAGAAAATGTTTGTTTTTTAAAGATTAGGTTGTGTTTGAATTACTCTTGTTACCTGTTGTTATTTGCATTGTTGTAGCCATGCTGATCCCGGGATATTAGAGAAACAAGGCGGGCGAGGTAATATCTTCTATTGGACCAGGTTCTGGTGGTGAAAGAGACACGCTTTTGAGTTTGTAGTCTCGAAAGCGTGTCTCTTTCACCAATAGAACTTGGTCCAATAAAAGATACTGGCTCACCCACCTTGCATCTCATTACCTATATCAAACTTGAGTTTCCATGACACCATTATGTGGGAAAAGTTGTCCTGCATCTTCCAGTACTGATGGCTATAACTAGTGGTTTGACTTTTTTTGAAAAATGAAATTCAGTTGCAATTGAAACACAAAAAGCTACTGTTCTAAAACTTCTGTCTAATTCTTAATTTCTTCTCGTTGACATACTTTTCATAATTTCTGCATACCCCTTTGTATTTAGTTATTTTAGTACAGCAAAATAAATAGTGTAAAATATATTTTCTGACAGAATTCATTGCAAGAGAAAACTAATTTCTTGGAGAAAATGAAGCAAAGAAATGAACGGTATAAACAAGATGTGGAGAGATACTATGAACGCAAGCGTCATCTAGATTTAATAGAGATGCTTGAGAGAAAAAGACCGTGGGTGGTAAGTTTTTTCCAATTTTTCTGAAAAACTATTATAAACCCACCATCTTTTTAAAAAGAGAGAGTTACTATGCAGTGAAATAATTTTTTTCCAACCCAGAATAGCCCAAGCACTACCAACATTACAGAATGTATATAATTGTCCTGAAACATTGTGTTCTACCCCTGGCCTCACTTAGCTTTTGCCTAGTTGCACCTATTGCTTCCAGCAATGGCTTGTACTTCATGCTTTAAAAAGAAGGCAGAGTGACTCCGTCCGCTAGACCAATCGTTCAGAACTGTATTATGGGTTGGTGGTATTTCCAAGCAGCTGATCACCTTGTGCCCTACAGCATAATGAATGATGGGTCTTTTTGTTGCTTCAGAAGTAAGCCTTGCAGTGAGTTTCACAAAATGTTTTGTCATACAAGCGCCTAGAGCTGGAGATAAGTGCTTTAAAGAAATCAAAATAAATAAGAGACTTGCTGGGTTAAAGGTAAATCATTTTGGCTTGCTTTAATAACCATCTTCTTGTGTCCACAAGAGTCTGAATTATTTTGAATTACAAAATGTGATATTTCAAAACTGACTCAGAATTGGAGAATCAAAGCCATCAATTAAGCTGGGGTTGTTTAGTATTTTGAGGCATTATGTCATTATTATATTTACTCTGCTTTCATGCCATTGATTAAAGTTTCCTTTATGGGCTTAAATTAATGAAGTATATGTGGCAAATGTTTGGATCCCATTCACACTGACTGAAATTCACAGAGGGTGCAGAAAGCCTGGCCCTCTACGGTAGGTTAGCCATGTAGTGGTGCTGCATGAGGGGAATTGCAGGTGTAGCAACCACAGAGAAGCCCCCTGTACATTAAGGAAGAAGCCTCCATGCCAGCCATTGATGAGTAGACTTGAGGAAGGGCAACAGGATTCATAGTTATGTGACTCAGGTGCCCCAACCCACAGTACAAATGCTATGAAAGGACAGCTACTGGGGGACATGGGCTATAGCCTTCCAATCTGGCAGTGGAGAATGAACTTTGTCCTTTTCTTTTATGTGGGTGAAGTGAATTTCTCCTGTACTGGTAGGGGATAACTCGGTTAAGGAGTAAAAAGTATCTGTTTAAACAAGACAGCTACAGGCTGTGCACAGTTAATCAGGAAAGAGCCTTGACATCACTGTTATTGGGGCAGTACTTTGAAGGCTAATCAATAGAGACTAAGGGAAAAACTAATTAATGTTTGTCATAACACACATTTCTGAATTGACTTACATTTGGAAACAAATGGTTCTTTGAGTAATGTCTTTGTAGATTCACACAGCTGAGACACACCTGCACACTTAAATTTTCCCGAGAGCTCTGTAGAAAGCATTGACCACATTTTTGCTATCCTGAACATTTGGGTCTGAAAGTGGACAAGAAGCAGTCAGCCTGACCCCTACCTGCTAGAACACTGAACTCACTTGCATAGTGGATTTGAACAGAGAAGACGCGAACCTTTCCAACCACTGAATCCCAGTATAGTAATGGCAATAGGTGTCTCTACCATGGGTTGGAGTGCTCACTTAGTTAAGTCACAATTAAAATTCTGTAACTTGGCAGCTGCCAGGTTACATACCATTGTACTGGGACAAGTGGTTTAGTTGGCTCTCAAGTCTGTTATCAGTCAAGTACAGGATCAAGTAATACAAATATTTAGCAGGCAGTAGCATGAAGATGAACTATATGATCTACCAGGGTGGAGCCAGATCTGCTTTTTGTAATAAAGCTATTCCTTGAGGAGGTAGTGCATTCAAAAATCATGTCCTTAACACTGTTGGCCTGTGAGGCATATAGAGTACATTAGTCTACAATCTCAGCAGAAATTTCACCTTCTAGCACAAATGGTCTTGAAAGTAAAAAGTGCGTTGTTCCTTGTTTCTCAGATGGGAAAATCCCACAAATAGATCTATTGGCAATGAAAGAGGATGCCACACACTGTCTTCGAAAGAGGAAGACATTATTTCCCCTCTCATGCTTTCTTTTCTTTATGCCTTAACTCCAATACCGCTGATCCCGAGAATAACGGAAAATTGGAGAGGATGGAGAAAAAGTGCTTCTGGTATATCCAGTACCAATAAGTCCAATTGGGGGCTAACCTGGAGCTTCCATCTTCTCCAATCCGCTTCACCAATTCCCACTCTTCTTTCACAGAAAATGACAGCATGTTACACCTGGACTAAAATCCTTGCAACTACCTTTTTGGATTTTTAAATCTTAACAGGACAGAATTATTAGTGTGTTTTGGAGGTGTAGCTGATACTGATGCAGATTTGTAGGCACTCTACTAGACAAACGTGCTGCAAAATGTAAGAGATTCCCTGTTCAGGCAGCCCAAAACCAGATTAACCCAACATCTGCTACTATTCTGATGATATTTGATTATCTTTTGACACAAAAAACCCTCTCAAGTATCAGGCTGAACTCGGTTTATTTGACTACTATTTCATTTTATCAAGTTTCTCTATGAAGATACACTGGTGATTTTGTACATAGTCCAAATTATTATCTAAGGTAGTTTAGATACTTACAGGTTGCTGGACTATGTTGGAAGTCAATGACTTTGAAAATGACCTGGCAGTCATTATTCATAACTAACTGAACATGAGTTCTCACTGCAATGCTGTCGGGGGAGGGAGGGGAAAGCTTGGATGTCTTTTAGAAAAGACATGGTTTAGGTAAACCACACATTATTGGGTGCAGTACAGGTATTACTATGACCTTTGTTATGCAGGAGATCAGACTAGATGATCATAATGGCCCCTCCCGGTCTTGAAATCTATGGATCTACTCTGATATCCCTTTATTAACCACCTGTTTGACTTTCCTCCTCTTTCCCTCCCAAAACTACATTAATTACTGGGGAAAGCTTTACTACATAGCCTAGGTGTAAATAGAGCATTTTGCTACTACCTTTAGTGGAAATAAACCCATCAAGTAGTCCTACCGATTCTTTATAGTTTAAAATTACCTACGTAGAGAATATATATAGATACAAAGTGTTATGATCTTGTGAGGGTTATGATTCCCAAAAGTCTTAACGTACATTCCATTGCTTATTTGTAATCTCCACAGTTTCTCTTAGAAACATCCCTATACTTGGCATCTGTAGAGCTGTGACTTGGTCTTTGTTCATACATATACATGTCGTTCTAGATTTATCTTAAGCTCTGACACTCAACTTGGTAGAATAATGTTTGTTTGTTTAGTTAGGTCCTCCTACCCACCTTTACAAGAATCTTTGCTAATCAGATTCACAGAGAATAGATCTCTTAAGCAAATATTTGAAAAAGCAATAGTTATTCACCTATAACTGAATAACTTGGAGGTGCTAGCTTGTGTAGATTAATTGACATGATCAGTCCTCCTTTCCAACTATTTCTGAGCCTTCCTAGTGGACTTTGAAATAGTGAAAGAAACTGAGGGGCAGGGCAGGCCCATGGCTCCTTTATATACCCTTTGGGTCTCAACATTTGATGCTGCATTGTCCATAGGCCAAGGTTTTCTAGATATTTCCAGCAAGGATGTGGCATTGTGAGGTGCATCCCAAGACTTTGAATCTGTCCCTGCAATAATCTTGAACTACAGTAACTGGAGAGCAAACTGTTTATCTGTCAGTGTCACCTGGGGATTAAGTTGCTCTTCTGAGACTGACCATTTTGGAAGGGGTTGACAAAGAATGTTTCAAAGTAACTTGGGCAGCAATACAAAAATGTTCTCTGTTCACAAGTAGAAAAATTAATATCCAGGTGGGAAAAGGCAGCAATACATAAAGCAAAAACAATAGATAATAGTCTGAAATCCTAATATGAGCATTTCTGTTTTTCGCATGCCCCAGAGTTTGGAGTACCTCAGACTCTTGTGCTCTTGAACTCACATTTCAGGGTCCTGTAGATACCAGTAGAGTTTCCAAGTTCATCCTGGTGTTAGGAGTTGCAGTGGAATGATGGGTTGATGATGTCAACTGGTGGGCTGTACCAAAACCAGGACAAACTCCCCAAGTTCAGTATTGTCCAGGACACACACACACACACGTCAGGATATTCACAGAATAATTGGATGTTTACACTCATATTTTTAAAGCAAAATTGTTCAAATGCCATTGCATGCTTTTGATCAGCAGGAAATAGGTGGGTCATTGTATCTCAGGGTCAAGCTGATCCATACCTAGCAAGTTAATTGAACCATTACTGGAACTCCATCACTGTAAAACAGACTTCTTGCATGATTCTTGTTGAATTAAACATGAGCACTGCAGGGGCATAATATGTGTATCCAGCTAAACACAGAAGGTAAAAGGCTTTCATTGTTTTGCTTGAAACTCTTGCAAGGAATATGAAAACGTTCGCCAACAGCATGAGGAGGTGAAACAAAACCGTGACCATGCAAAGGAAGAATTAAAAAAACTACAACAAGCAAAGTCTCCAATGACACAGCAAATCCAAGAAGTTGAAAAGCAGTGGAGGAATTTGGATATAAAAATCAAAGAGAAGGTATGTATTTTGGATTCTCGGTTAAAATATTTAGACGTTCCATGTGTTTAATAAAGCTGAAAATGGAACATGAAGCAATCAGAATATGTTCATTTTTGTATAGTAGAAGTAGCATGTTATTAGAAGAGATTTTAATGAAAGTATTTTTGCCCCTCATTTTCCCTGCTCTGTTCTTTGTGCCTCTCCTCCCAAAAAGGAAATTAAATATGGCTATGTGGAGTTAGCTACTACTTAGTTCACTTTCCATGATCACATTTGGTACACTACTGTAAAAGCACCATTGGAATAGACACAGCCATATGGTTTTCTTATACTAAAAATCTTTAGGCCAACATATACAGACCTAGGTACATAAAGTTAGGGATCTAATTAATTTGGCCTGATTTCTTTTTTTTCTAGACGTGCCAAGCACCTGCAGCGCTTTCATTTACTTAATTTGGGAACTGTGATTGATGAGCACCTCCTGAAAATCAGGCCAATTTAGTTTAGGTTGCTAGCTTTATGCAACCGATTTTGAATATTTTGACCTTACTGATTTCCTGAGCTGCTACTCCATCTACATTTAACCCTATTATAAATACCTATATGATAGAGTTTGTCAGATAGTAACCAGTCCTCCTCCATGATTCATAATATTTATGAATAAAAAAAGTTAATTTAGCTATGTTTTGTGGTGTAATATGTTGTTTGAGAGTTTTTGGATAGCTGCCATGTATTCATACCATTGGAAAATGTTCGTGAATCCTGAAAGATTTCTATGAATATTTTAGCCCGAGTATCAGATGTACTGTATTCATTATTTGCTATTTGTTCTTTTAAAAAATGGTGAGCAGGGTGGATTGACTTAAATCAAAGCAATCTAAATCACCAATTTTAATCACGATTTAAATCAGCAATCAGGAAACCTCGATTTAAATAATCAGTTTTAATCATTTTACATTTGTACTTTTTAGTTATTTTCTTAAAGAAAGATTGATTCTTCTTAGTTGGTAACTATTGAAACATAATGATATGCAACTAAATATTGCCTTTGCACTAAAATTGGTGTTTGTTAACTTCTTCTTCGAGTGATTGCTCATGTGTATTCCACAGTAGGTGTGCGTGCTCGCCATGTGCACCAGTGCCAGAAGTTTTTCCCCTAGCAGTACCCGTAGGGGGAGAGCACCCTCCGCAGCCCCTGGAGTGGCACCTGCCTGGCGCGGTATAAGGGGAGCTGCGCGCTCCCCCCACCCTCAGTTCCTTCTTGCCGCCAGTGAAGGTGCGTCGGAACTGCTCTGCTCCAGCTTCGCTCTAGCTTGTCCCCAAAACTGTTCGTTCGTTTAGTACCTGTAGTTAGTCGGCTGGTTTAGTTAGTCAGTGAGCCTGGGCTGGGGCATGCCCCGAGCCCGGGATTTAAGTCATGTGGTTCTTGTCGGCGTTCTGTGCCAAGGAGCGACCCGCACACAGACTGTTTGCGCTCTTTGGGAGAGACCCACATCAGCGAAAGGTGCAAAATTTGCAAATCGTTTAAGCCCTGGACCAAAAGGGAAAGAGACATTAGGCTCTGAGCCATTCTGATGGAGTTGGCGCTGACCCTGACCCTAGCACGCTGCTCCGAGCCGGTACTGGGCACCATGGTGTCAGTATGCAGTGATCAGCTGGTGCCTTCGACCATTCGGCACCGCTCCCCGTCCACGGGACACGCCAAGAGGACCAAGACTCCCTCCTTGCAACGGCACCGAGGGAAGTCTGGAAAAGAGGCTAGGCCCATGTCGGGCAGTCCTCGATCCCCATCGGGCCCCAGGCCTCCGACTCACTTAGAGCGGAGTAGCCCGGCCTCTTCAGAACAGGCCTCTCTGGATGTCCGGATGCCTTCCACAACCAAAGCCCTCCAAGTGGCCCAGGACGTCATGTCCATGCCGGTGCCCGGAGCCCCACCGATGTCGGCCCCGCGCTCCAGAGGCAAGCCGCCGCTGGGATCTCCGCAGTCGCCCCTGGCTCGGTACCAGTCTCGGTCGAGGGAACCTTCCCGACGCTGATTACCGCCCAGCGTCCGGTTGGGGCAGAGTCCACGTGGATCGCCCCCGACGCCGGCTAGACTGTCGGGCTGAGTTCCGTCCGTCCGGAACTCGCGGCACCGGTCCTCCTCAGAGAGCGGATATCGACGGGACCGCGGCAGATGTCGTCGTCGGTCCTCGTCCCAGAAAAGGTACCGCAGTTGGTCACAGCACGGTCATCGACGCTGTTCCCACTCGGACTCCCACTCCGAGTCTCCGCCGAGACATCGCAGCCCTGGGCGTCGATCGCCAGCGTCTCGCTGTCGTGGATCCGCCTGTTGAGGCCGTTCCCGGAGCAGTTATTACCGTTGGTACTGATCCTCCATGTCGAGATCGCGGTCCCGTGACCGTCGCAGATCCCGGTACTGCCACTCCTCTCGGTTGAGAGACAGCAGCGGATCCTATGCCAGCCAGGTCTCCGCTCGTAGCCGCCCTTCGACGAGCCAAACCGGCCAACCCGGACAGTTGGCCCCGGCGGTGCCACAGCAAGTGCAGTGGCACCAAGCGTCGTGGCCAGCCCAGTGGTACCAGTGGGCACCGTGGCCCCGGTGGGAGCTCACTCGGTGGCTGGAACTTCGGATGCTCCGTCGGCATCCATCTCTAGACCCCCCGACGAAGGAGTCGGTGGGACGCACGTCCTCGGCACCGTGCCCGGAGTCCCACCAGGGGGTGGATCCTCCGGTGCCAGCCGACACCGAGAGCACCGCCCCGGCCTCTTCGCCCCACCCTGAGGAGGCAATTGGGGCCCTGCCCCCCTCCATCCTGCAGGAGGACTTTAGGGCCCAACAAGACCTCTTAAAGAGGGTGGCAGCAAGCCTCCACCTCCAGGCAGAGGAGATGGAAGAGCCTGTGGACTCCTTGTTTAACATGCTGTCCCCGTCGGCACCGGGTAGGGTGGCCTTGCCGCTCCATGAAGGGGTGGCTAAGATTTTGAATGGCCTGCGGCAAACAATGCCCTCGTTGGCCCCTATATCAAAAAAGGCTGAGCGAAAGTATTTCGTACCCGCTAAGGGGCATAAGTACCTATATACCCACCTGGCACCCAACTCCCTGGTGATCGAGTTGGTCAACCACAGGGAACGACAAGGTCAGCTAGCCCCGACCCCAAAGAACAAAGACTCTCGGAGACTGGACTCTTTCGGAAGAAAAATGTATTAGTCTTCGAGCTTCCAGTTACGAGTGGCGAACCATCAGGCTCTCCTGGGCTGGTACAAATCTGTGGGGCTCCCTGCCCAAATTTGAGGACTCCCTCCAGGAGCATGATAAGAAGGAGTTCAGGGCGCTTGTGGAGGAAGGGGCAACGGCAGCTCGAGCTTCCCTACAGGCTGCCTCAGATGCTGCGGCCACGGCCACGCGATCGATGGCCTCAGTGGTGTCCATGAGATGGGCGTCATGGCTCTTACTCTCTGGGCTGTCCAGTGAGGCGCAGTCTTCCATGCAAGACCTCCCGTTTGATGGAAAAGCCCTGTCTGCAGAGGAAATAGATACAAGGCTGCATGGCATGAAGGACTCCCACACGACCCTCCAGACACTGGGCCTATATGTCCCAGCTCCGGCAAAACCTAAATTTAAGCCGCAGCAGACTTCTATCCTGGCCACCATCCTGAAGTACGAGGCCGCCCATAAGAAGCAGCAGGACTATAAGAGACGCCCTCATAGGCTGGACCCTCTAAGGGCAAGCAGGCGGTTTTGACGGGATGCTTGGGGGCATCCCGCCAGTCCTCGTCAGGGATCCAACCCCAATAAAGCTTCCCTTCTCCAACCGGTTATGTGCTTTCCTCCCAGAATGGTCGTGGATCACCTCGGACTGATGGGTCCTCAACAACATCTCCTAGGGTTACACCCTCTAGTTTACCTCCTCCCCACCCAACCACCCCTGCCCCCATCCCTCCTGAAGCTCTGCTCGAGCAGGAGGTGGGGCGGCTCCTGGAACTAGGAGCGATAGAGGTGGTGCCCGAGGAGTTCACGGGAAGGGGTACTACTCCCGTTACTTCCTTATTCCGAAGGCTAAAGGGGGGCTCAGACCCATACTGGACCTACGGGGCCTAAACCAGCACATGGTGAAGCTCAAATTCTGCATGGTCTCACTGGCCTCCTTCATCCCCTCCCTGGATCCCGGGGTGTGGTACGCTGCCCTCAATCTGCAGGACTCGTACTTCCACATCCACATATTCGAGGGGCACAGGTGCTTCCTCCGGTTTGTGGCGGGACACAATCATTACCAATTTACGGTCCTCCCGTTTGGACTGTCCACTGCCCCCAGGGTGTTTACAAAATGCATGTCCGTGGTAGCGGCCTACCTCAGACGGCGGGGGGTGGGGGGGGTGTCCAGATATTTCCTTATCTGGACGATTGGCTTGTCAAGGGCACCTCCGGGTCGCAAGTGAGGGATCACGTGCCGCTTTTCCTGTCCACGTGCACCGCCTTGGGCCTGCTGGTAAACAATACCAAGTCCACATTAGTCCCTGTCCAATGTATCGAGTTTATTGGGGTACTTCTGGATGCAGTGTCGGCCAGGGCCTCTCTCCCACCAGACAGGTTCGAGACTCTGAAGGGTCTCATCGACTCGGTCATGAGGTTCCCGGTTACAATAGCCAGGGTTTGCCTGCAGCTCTTGGGCTAATATGTCAGCGTGCACATACATGGTCCATCACGCCAGACTCAGGATGAGGCTCCTCCAGCTCTGGCTGGCCTCGAATTTCCCCCAGGCCATGGACGGGATGGAGAAGGTCCTCACAGTGCCAGGCTCGGTGATCACCTCCCTGAGGTGGTGGTCCACCCCAAGCAACATGCTCCAAGGGGTCCTGTTCAGGGACAACGCCCCGTCATTGGAGCTGGTGTTCGATGCGTCAGACCTGGGTTGGGGAGCCCACGTGGGGAGCACTCAGACCTAAGGCCTGTGGTCGGCTCAAGACCTGACCCTACATATAAATGTCAAAGAACTCTGGGCGGTGCAGCTGGCGT